TAGAGTCTTGTGTGGTTAGTCAGGTCGTGGCCGACACCCTCGCCAGGCTTCCGCTTGAAGGTTGCCGAGATACATGACGTGTACATGGCGGTAAGTGGCGAGAGCGTGTGTGAAGAAGTACACCCCTGCAGGGTTAACATGATCTATTCGAATAGCCGGGTCCGCGGTTATGGACTTCTTGGATGCTTACATGGTACATAGACAACTTGAAGTGGATACTCTAAAAGGCTCAAGACAAGTGTGAGTGCTATGGATGGCCTTCTCGTAGGGAGACGGGGATGAATCCATAGTAGTGTATTGTGTGGTGATTAGTGGACTCGTGTACGTTGTCTCACCTCAAGAGTTTCTGGTAGTCGTAGAACAGGATAGCCACAGAGTCAAAGCTGGCTTGCTGCAACTAAACCCCACATTACCCTCTTGATACCAATGCATGTATGATAGGATCTGATGTAAGTCTTGCTGAGTACATTTGTACTCATGTTGCTTTATTTATGTTTTCGCAGCGGAGACTTCGGTCTTATTAGTGTTCTCGTGGTCTTCGACGAGTAGCTTGTACCTCAGCTACGATCTTGATCGGACGTTGTAGATAGTCAGGCTTTCAGCCTTTTTCATTTATAGATGTTTGTACTCAGACATGTAATGCTTCCGTTTGTTGCTGGAGTGCTCTGAATGTTGGGTCATGTGACCCCTGGTTGTAATAATGCTATGATGGCTCTTCTGAGCCTTTATCTATATGAGTTGTTGAGTTATGCTGTGATGCCATGTTGTACAGCACATACTTGCATGTTATGCGTACGTGTAATGTGTATTGCTATGTGTGGGATCTGACTATCTAGTTGTTTATCCTTAGTAGCCTCTCTTACCGGGAAATGTCTCCTAGTGAGCCCTGGTAGCTTGCTACTGCTCCGGAACACCTAGGCTGGCCGGCGTGTGTCCTTCTTCGATCCTGTGTCTGTCCCTTCGGGGAAATGTCACGCGATGAATATCGGAGTCCTGTTAGCCCGCTACAGCCCGGTTCACCGGAGTCCTGTTAGCCCAGTGCTATAGCCTGGATTCACTCGTTGATGACCGACACGTTCGATGCTGGGTCATGGATGCCTGTCCCTGTAAGTTAGTGCCACTTTGGGTTTACGACTAGCCATGTCAGCCCGGGCTCTTTATCATAGGGATGCTAGCGACACCATCATATACGTGTGCCAAAAGGCACAAACGGTCCCGGGCAAAGGTAAGGCGACACCCGTGGGGATACCGTGCGTGAGGCCGCAGAGTGATATGAGGTGTTACATGCTAGATCGATGTGGCATTGAGTCGGGGTCCTGACAGAGGTCCTCCTCCTGGGAGTTCAGCGCGGCCTGGTGCTGGGTTCGAGTGGCCTCGGCTGCGGCGGCCAAGTTCTCCGTCGTCTCCTGGGCCTTCTCGATGTCGGCCCGCTTCATGGTGAGCTCCACGTCGTGCTTGGCAAGCTCACCCTGGGCGACCTTCAGCTCCTCGCAATCCTGGCGGAACCAAGTCTGCATCTCGGCGATGCGCGCCTTGAGGTTCGCCTCCGCCTTGTCCACTATTGCCATCCTAGACTTGGCCTTGTCCAGGCGGGCGCGGTGGAGCGCCTGGAGCTTCCGGAAATTGGCGTCCATGGCCTAAAGAAGCCGCTCCTCCTGAGAACCATCGCCACCAGTTCTCGGTTCGTCAACAACCTCGAGCCTGGTGGCGGCAAGCACCTCCTCGTCGAACACCTCTCCCTCCACGGGCGCCCTGGAGCTCGACGACCCTGGGAGGTGGAAGAAGAGGTCGTCACTCACCCTCAGATACCTGCCGGAGCCGGAGGCAACGGAGGAGGAAGGTTGGTCATCAACCACCACCTCCTCGGCAGCGGCCTTGCCGGACTCCCCGGCGGGCCCCTTGGCAGCCTCCTCGGCAGCAATCTTCTCGGCCTCCGCTGCGGCGTCCTTGGCGACATCCTCGATGACGGT